TTGAAGGAAGAACCGTATTTCATCACACACACACACACACACACACACACACACACACACACACACACACACACACACACACACACACACACACACACACAGGGCAGATGGTATGGCCTGGATTATTGTACCTCTTTGTTTATTTGTCCAACTCGGATTTATAGGTTTTTTTTTTCTCCAACTTGCGTAATCTCTTCAAAATTCCAAGTGCCAAGCGAGCTCTCTGATTGGTTAAGACGTCAGCACGTGTCCAATGAACAGACTCCTCTCGTTCAGTGTTATGACACGTTTTGAAAACGGTTCTCTCGTTCCCAGCAGCATTGTTTACAGTGTCACGCCTTGTCCTTCAGGTTTCCCTAACTATTATTCCTACAGTATATTTATATATATAAGGTATTTATATGAGTTATATGTAACAGGACATTTTGTACATCGGTATCTGTGTATGTATGACGAACACTTATCTGATAAACATCACGACGTTCGACTTCAGGAGCTCTTGCACCCGATGACGATAATAGCGTCGTTCCAAGCGTGGTGAAAGAACCGGAATCGCTGGAGCAGTACTACGTGTTTGTGACACAATCACATCAAGCAATCCTGTTCTGATCTACACCACCATACATCCAGCGTAGTTTGGTGTAGTTCAGTGTAGTTTGGTGTAGTTCAGTGTAGTTTGTTGTAGTTTGTTGTAGTTTGTTGTAGTTTGGTGTAGTTCAGTGTAGTTCAGTGTAGTTTGTTGTAGTTTGGTGTAGTTTGGTGTAGTTTGGTGTAGTAAGGTCACGCTTGCTAAACAGATCCGAGGAGGAAGAGCGATCCTTATAACCTCCATTAAAGATGTGGGGATAAAACCTGTACCTGTCTGGTTACTTCTGTTCTCAACCCCTGACAGTCAGGCAGAAGGTATGTCATGGACGGTCTTAATCCGAGTCTTGCTTTTAACTACACGTAGATATGCGTAAGATGGCTGCCACACATATCCCGTGTTCACTGGTAGCATCGCAGAAATGAATACCAACGGAAATCACAATCGTGTGGGCAGAACAACACCACGAAAGAAGCTATTGCTGCAGTGATGTTTGTTGGTAAGTGAGACCTTTTAGCTGTACTCACGGTCGACACACGTGAATCTAAGAGGGCTTCGGTGGAATGCGCGTTGTGATGACATCACATGACCCGAATTTGCGGAGAATCTGCGGTAATTTTGAACAATTGCAAGGAATGTTGTGGAGTTTGCTTGATTTCTGTGATCGTAAAATTCTGGAGGGATTGGATCCTAAACCATTATAGATTACTCACACTGTCCGGGATTGGATCCTAAACCATTATAGATTACTCACACTGTCCGGGATTGGATCCTAAACCATTATAGATTACTCACACTGTCTGGTTTTCCTGATACGGTTACTCTCTGAATATTAAAAACCTCTCACTTCACCTTCAAACGTACAGAAGGGTCTGTTTGATGTACCGCTCTTCTGGAAATCCCGATGGACGGGATGCTTAGGATCTGATGATCTATTTCGTGGATGCCGTTTTTAAACAGTCAGATGTGCATAAAGTATGCAGGTGAGTGTTTGAACAATGCAGCGTGTGTTGCTGCTGCTTCGGCACATGTATGCAAAATTACCCGTCATGTGTAAACCAGGCCTCATCCAGACGCGAGCTGCGATGGTAATTGGCTTTGGGAACATGGTATATCTGGAAAACATCTGAGTTATTGTGTGACATGGAACAGACGAGATGGAGTCAGCCTTACATGGAGTTCAAACAGGAGTCCACACAGGAGTTAGGCCTCAGGAGGGTGTGAGGATGCTCATTAGCCCCAGAAAGAGGGCCTAGCTCCTGTCGGAGTTTCTCCCCGTGGACGATGGCATCGCCTCCATGAGATTTCAGGATGTTGTTTGTGTGCATGCACCAGATAGGAGCATTAAGCCTTCATAGAAATGCTCCAGAGAGTACTTCCTGCTGACTCCATAGTGCTCTCAAGTGACATCACTGCTCATGTTGGGAATACATGGAAAGGGTGTTGATTGGGACGACTGACTTCCAGGATTGGAATCTCACTCGGAGTGCTGAAATATCAGTGGAACTTCTAAGGTCATGGTTCCTTCCAGAAAAGAGTGGGACGTTCACTCGAGGCGAGTTGAAGAGACCTTGCTCCGGGTGGAGGAGGAGTTTATGTATCCTGGGATTTTTCTGATGGAAAAAGAGAGCATGAGATTGATAAACACGCAGCTGGAGCGAGGTTCCTCTGCAGGCTTGCTGCAATCCACTGCACTCTGAACCCGACCTCCGACACGGAAAAGGGCAACGGAAAGGTCAGCTCAGAATTCCGAGAATTCTTGCCTAAACAAACCTGACATCACACAATATGGCGGCTCTTACAGTCAACAGTACACAGATTTCCTTCTGCAGTATTTACAACTAGATGAAACGTGATATGTAGCGTGTGTGTGTTGTGAAACGATGGTTGCACAACTTAACCTAACTTTACTAAAGCCATGAGACCACAGCCCTGAAGAGATGTACAGGAGAGCCGACCTGTCTTCTCTGATATGACGTTTCTCACCGCTAGTTTCGCATGAAATAATTATTTCAATCTTCTTAATATGTTTATAAAATTCAAACACAAGCCATAAAAAACGTGTTTAATTCGGAATTCTGTAAAAATCAGCCTGGAACTTTGAATTGCAGCATTACTCTGTGATTGATAGGGCGAGGTGCTCGACAATCCGGAAGAACCGTGGAGTAGAGACGTTGCTCGTCTGAATCGAGAGAAGCCGGTTGACGTGGTTTAGGATTCACAAACGTCTCTCTGAGTACATTTACACGGACAGCGGTAATCTAATTCTAATCTAATAACCTTATTCTGAATAAGACAACAGTGTGATTAAGGTGTGTACATGTCTGTAATACACCTCGATAACGCGACTAAAACAGGAATACTCCACACGTCTTAATTCCATCTGTGTTTACTACGAGTATGACTTTAATCAGATTAAGGTCATCAATAATCTCTGTTTACATGCTAGTTTCTTAATCAGAGTATCGCCTTAATCGGATTCATATCGGATTATCGTTGTCCATGTAAACGTGCTGATACCGAGTGTATGGAAACCCCCGCTGAGATACAGGACCCGTTGGAGGGATTACATCACGGTTGGCTTGGGAACATCTCTAGGTCCTCTAGGAGGAGCTGGAATCTATGGCTGGAGATGGAGAAGCTTGGATGGAACCTTCTCAGAGAGGAAAACAAGTAAAAATAACAAACCCCTGGGTAACTTATTAAAAGCATGGTACTGTCACACAGACAGGTCAAGAACAGGACCGGTGATAGAGATTTAGCTTTTAGTTTCATTCTGAGACGTCGATATATCACTTACACAACTGAGGGTTTTTCAGGTTTCCTGCAATTAGACCTCAGATTTTTTTTTCTTTATCTTTCTATAAAGCTCTACAATTTTAGGCAACATGTTTTGGATTGGATCTGACGTGTGGTTTTTCATGGGTTTATATATCTGTATTCTGACTGTGTGAGGTTTTTGGGTCTTGATTAATCGATTGGTTTCCTTTGTGACGATTTGTCGTTGGAGTTGAATGTCCTGTTTTTCTTCGCAGTGTAGCGTGTACTGAAGTTCTTCAGTACTGACACACACCGTTAATTATTGTCATCTCAGAGCTGGTGAGCTCACGGGACGGACAGCCAACTGATGTCACTGACGAGATGTTTGTTCGAGTCCAGGCTTGTTCTTAAAGAGCCTCACCTTCCTGTTCGCTTCCCAGAATCCTGACCAGAATCATTCCTGGTGTCAGCAGATCTGAGATAAAACAGCTGAAGTTCTCCTTCTCAACCTGCTTACACGCACAAACCTGAGTGCTGACCTGAGGTGAAATATAAACGCTCTGGAAATTCCCTCTCTGATCACATGACTCGTGCCATCACTTATAAAGCTGAAATCTGTTATTGTTCACATAATCACGGCCGAACCTTTGACCAATGATGACCACTGACGCTGTTTTATGGAGTGGGCGGGGCTTAGCGAGAAACAGAGGCGGAATAAAGATAAAGGCCGCTCTAGCTCTAACTATTGAATGTTTTAAACAGGTTTCAAAAAGCAAAAAAGAGATGTGATTCATAGATACGTAGTCTTACATGAGGACATGTTGGGGGGTGGAAACACACCCCTCTGTTGGAATAATCTCTATAAATCTGATTAACCATGTAATAAAGAGTCCTGGATTTTTTTAAATACAAACCAGACTTTCAGATGTGTGTCATGTTTCATCCTGGAATAAAGGATGAAGAGAGAGAGAGAGAAAGAGAGAGAGAGAGAGAGACAGAGAGAGAGAGAGAGAGAAACAGAGAGAGAGTGTGTGTGTGAGAGAGAGACAGAGAGAGAGACAGAGAGAGAGTGTGAGAGAAAGAGAGAGAGAGAGAGAGAGAGAGAGAGAGAGAGAGAGAGAGAGAGAGAGTGTGAGAGAGAGAGACAGAGAGAGAGAGAGAGAGAGTGTGAGAGAGAGAGACTGTACTCACTAATAATTAAAACTACGAAAGGGCTGTTAATTCCATGCCCGTCTATAGACAGTGATGCAGAGACCCTCCATTACAAAGCACTGAGATACCAAGAGCTAACCCAAGAGAGAAACCTCCTCAGCACGCTGACTATACAATCCAAAACATGTCCAGACCAGACCCCCAGACCGACCAAATCACATGACATCCATCTATCTTCTACCCCTTGCTCCTTCTTCAGGGTCACAGGGGAACCTGGAGCCTATCCCAGGGAGGTCTATCCCAGGGAGGTCTATCCCAGGGAGGTCTATCCCAGGGAGGTCTATCCCAGGGAGGCACAAGGCGGGGTACAGGACAGGGACAGGGTGCCAGTCACAGGGCACGATCACTTACAACTCACACACCCATTCAATCAGCCTACCATGCGTGTCTTTGGGAGGAAACCCCCGCAGCACGGGGAGAACATTCAAACTCCGCCCACACAGGGCCCTGGCGGGAATCGAACCCCCGACACCCTCGGTCGAGGTGTGAGGCGAACGTGCTAACCACTAAGCCACTGTGCCCTGATACAGAGTACATCAGACTGTTATCTGTTCCTGAAGAGAGAATATAAACCAGCAGAACACCTGAGCAGTGACCGAATCTAAACTAAGACACGTTCTGACCCAGTGAACTTAGTGAACACAAGCTGGCCATAGAGACGGGCGGGCAGGTACACACACACACACACACACACACACCTGGCTACAAAAAGAAAACATTTTTCCCCATTTCACAATCCATGAAAAAGACTTCAATCTGATGCCAAACAAGAACAAAGACCCGGACCTGCTCAGAAACCTCAGCAGCTCTGACCTGGCTACCAGGTGAGTGAAGTCCTGTCATGGACCACCAACCAACTGCCCCATAACACCAGCACTGTAAACATGCACAAACTCTCAGAAACATCTGCTTTAATAAAACTAAACATTATGTATCCTTCTTCTTCTTCTTGCTATTATATTATCTGATACAAACGGTGATGATGATGATGATGATGATGATGATGATGATGATGACGATGATGGTGATGGTGATGATGACGGTGATGATGATGGTGATGGTGATGATGATGACAGTGATGATGATGAGGATGATGGTGATGATGATGATGATGTGATGGTGATGATGTGGCGATGGTGATGTGATGGTGGTGATGATGAGGATGAGAATGGTGATGATGGTGATGGTGATGTGATGATGATGGTGGTGATGATGAGGATGATGGTGATGATGATGATGATGTGATGGTGATGATGTGGCGATGGTGATGTGATGATGGTGATGATGATGAGGATGATGGTGATGATGATGGTGATGGTGGTGATAATGTGATGATGATGTGATGGTGGTGATGATGGTGGTGATGATGATGTTGATGATGATGATGGTGGTGATGATGAGGAGGATGATGGTGATGTGATGATGGTGGTGATGAAGGTGGTGATGATGTGATGATGATGATGTGATGGTGGTGATGATGGTGGTGATGGTGGTGATGATCTGATGGTGATGATGATGTGATGGTGGTGATGGTGATGATGGTGGTGATGTGGCGATGGTGATGATTATGGTGGTGATGATGGTGATGATGAGGAGGATGATGGTGATTGTGATGTGATGATGATGGTGGTGATGATGAGGATGATGGTGATGATGATGATTTTGATGTGATGGTGATGATGTGGCGATGGTGATGATGTGATGGTGGTGGTGATGATGAGGATGATGGTGATGATGATGGTGATGATGGTGGTGATGTGATGATGATGGTGATGATGGTGGTGATGTGATGATGATGGTGATGATGGTGGTGATGATGATGATGACGTGATCATGACGGTGATGATGATGATGGTGATCATGACGGTGATGATGGTGGTGATGACAGTGATGATGATGGTGATGATGATGATGGTGATTATGATGATGATGACGATGGTGATGATGGTGATGTGATGATGATGATGGTGATGATGGTGATGATGATGGTGATGATGATGGTGATGATGATGGTGATGAGGATGATGGTGATGATGATGGTGATGATGGTGATGTAGAGAAGGACTAGTGTAAAAGTATCAGAGTTAGGGACAGATCTCACTGTGCGAGCGTTTTGCAATAATAAACGATTTATGATCCTTACCGTTTAAATTCAGAACCGATCCAAATCATCTGTACGTTCCTTACATCCCTAAATCATCCATCCATACCTTTATACAAATATAATATAAATACGATAGTTATTTTCACATGTAGATTTCCACGTGTGGTTTTATTACTTTTTCACGTGATGCACATAATCACTGTAATATATATATATATATATGATATGATAAATCTGTTAAAAAGCGCCTGGGAGAGGCGCACGAGGAACCCGACGCATGCGCCACACTTCTCTATACCCGCGTAACGATGAGCATGGCAGAGAGGTCAAAGGTCAGCGTGTTCGGTGGCAGTAAGAACCCAGTAGAGAAACCGTAACCGGCTCGTGTTAGTGCAGAAAGGTGTCGGATCTGAAAGGACGGCTGACGTCTGGGTAACGTGTCTCACACAGGGGTACAGAGCAGCTCGGGACCTGCTGGAGATCCACAGGGGATTCACGGTGTGAACAAATCCACAGCAGCTACATGATGCAATCGTTTCAACACCGAGCGGAATCTCAGAGGAGCGTCGATCCGTGTGGAGCCCAGGCCAGGAAGAACTGAGGCTGTGTGTGTGTGTGTGTGTGTGTGTGTGTGTGTGTACCACAGAGAGTTGAGATGTTTCCCTGTACTGAGAACAGAACCAGAAGACATGTTTACCCCTCTCTCAGTGAGAGGTGAGTACAGGAGATACGAACAGAACACACGTGCTGTACGTACGAGGGGTGATGACATCATCACAGTGTAGATGTGATCGTATCAGTGTGTTTTCCTATCACACACTCCTGCTTTACATACGCC